TTGTTACACTGCTGTTTGTGAAGTTGCGTCGTGTTGTTTGTTGTTTCGTTGCATCAGTGGGCTTTGCCCAGTCTGTGTTTGTTGTTTGTCCTGTTTATTTTCATCTCATCTCTTTTTGCATGCTTTTTCCTCCCACCTGCCTCTTCCCCCTTCTGCCCTGCTCATGAGCCCAGACAGCCCAGCGTGCTCAGAGCCGTTACCCCTCCCGCATTCATCTGAGCCGGCTCTGCGCTCCTGCTGCTCCTGCTCTTTCATGTCCGCTCTCATAGCCCACATTAATATCACAGTCTACCGCCATGCTGCAGTCATATATGTGCGAGAATGTCACTTTGCTTAAACATGCTGAGATGAAAGCCCGTGAATCAATTCCGTACAGGAAGCTCGTTCTTTCATTGGGGGAAATAATGGGTGAATGAACAGCCATCAGGGGCTGATGAGAAGACCCGATGTGCGATCGTGCCGCAGTGCGTTCGCAGGGAAAAAAGGCCACCTTGAGTGCATGTGCATGATCGTGTTTTGAAATACATCAAGTTTGTTGTGTACGGGGGAAGATAAGTGATTATCACATGTCTTGTAATTTCCCTTCATGCATAATAGCGAGCTGTAGGAGGCCACGTCTCGAATCACAGGCTTCAGTGAGTTTTAGGCCTTTTATTATCATCTGAATATATACATGAGTGAAAAATAAAAAGCCAATGGTTGTGAAAATTCTGAATTTAAGAATTGGCATCCTTTGAGTTCATAAATGTAAATTTGAAATGAATTGCTACGGGATGTTGAATTGGAATGACAGGATGATGAATTTAATTTAAATTCCAAAAAATCAACACAACAGAGGAATTTACTTATTTTGGAATTATCAGTTGTGTTAATATGTGAAAAAACATACAACAAGTAATTATATTATAATGTAATATTAATCCAACTATTCTGTGATGAAAATGAAAGCTAAATTATTTAATATATAATATGTAGGAAAAAAACAAATATACATAAAACAAATGATAATATAATATAATATAATATAATATAATAATGTGTTTGTATGCATAGATAGATTGTTTTACAAATTAAGGAAATACAATTAAAATGCAATGGAATCATTGCAGTATGTGTAATTTTTATTAATACATTTCTTTGTTCAATATATGAATTACCCTTTAACATGCATATAATTTCCAGAAATATTATATGATATTAACATCGGTTTCATCTAGAACAATAATTGTTTTAAAAATATATATAAATAAATAGATTTTATAAAATGTATTTAACATGCGCACACACAGAGACATACACTTATATACACGTGTGTGTGTGTGTGTGTGTGTGTGTGTGTGTGTGTGTATACTATTCATTGAATATATATATATAAACAGATGAGCGTTTTTCAGTTTCATTGCGCTATCATTCTAGTACAGTAATGTTTTGTGTGTGAGTAACACACTATTCATTGAAGCCTCTGCATACTTGATTTTAATTGAGGTTTCTTTACCGGTGTCAAACAGCTTTTTTGTCACTGGTACGAGAGACATTTAGCCTTTCATTCTTGCAGTTTATGCTTTCACACCCCAAGTGCACTTTTCTCTTTTTTGATAAGTGTTTTATTTTCAATCCCTAACTGTGTAGCCTAGCAACAGGCAGCAGGCAACAGTTCAAGGCCTAAATATGGTTTTCTATGGAGGAGGAGCAAATGCCACGGTGAAGTACACTTAGTAATTTAAACATCTCAGGAACCAAACATCTTTTGCAGTACCTGCCTCTACAATTAGTTTATTTCATTTCCCGAAAAGCCCCAGGGCTCAGCGAGCGCACAATCCAGACAGGCTTTTTTTCCTGTGTTTAATACTCACACAAAAGTTGGAGCTTTTTTTTTTGCCCCAGAGAGGCCAATCACCTGTGCTCTGAGGACATTGGCTTCAACCAGACAGATAGATCAAATCCCCGGTGCTTTTACAAAACCCAATTCTGGGACCTCACCTCACAGCTTCTGCTCCGGCTGTCTATTTCTAGTCCGAGCAGATTTCCTGCAGATAGGGATTTAGATCCCTCAGGTGAGGCGGAAGCTAATTTCTAGACAGGAAAGGTGTGATGTTGAGATACACTGATGATGGATAATGGTGAACCCTCGGCTAAGGTAAACAGTCTCTCTTTTTTTCCTCAGGAAGTTGCTGTGTGATCCTTTCCTAGTTATGTTTACTTTTTATACCAGTCCAGATTGTGAGTCGCTACTGACACATGGATCTGATTAGCATCATTTTCTATGCCAATTCAGTTTATTCACAGCTTTTTTTTTCAATGCTGTTCAGTTGAGGTTGGCCTGCAGGTAGCTGTGTCTGGTAGCAGATGTTTGGGTGTCATGCATTTAATTTAGCATTTCAGGCAATTAAAGTGCAGAATATTGTTCTGGATCTCCAAAGTATAGATAATGCATTATATATTCACAGCAGACTGTTTTAATGTATTCAGTACATTTTAAAAGCCTCCAGGGTTCATTTTTGCTCAGAAAGCTAACATGTGTCATGGGATTTGTGAGTACAGTTCTCTTGGGAGAAATTAAGATATCATCCATTTGTAATATTAGTAAAGGGATTTGTTAAAACATATTTAAGGCTTATTCATAAACATAGCGTTTCATTTACAGTCTAGTAAATCTGACAATGATAAATTATATTTCCTTATGTTAATCTTTAACCCTAATCAAACAGGACTACTTTTCCCTGAGGATGTTAATACCACTGTTATTTTAGTATTATTTATATTCTATTAAAATTTGTATGAATAATTTGAATTCTCTTTTGTGTTTATATTTTTCATTTTCATTTCAACATGCATTTTCATTTTAAAGTCTTAGTAATTTTCTTTTAATTTTTATGATTTTGTTAATTTTGTCATTTGTATTAGTTTTTATTATTATTATTTATATTATTTTATAGTTTTAGTACTTCAGCAGTTAGCCGCCAAGGCAACACTTCTAATATTTATTTATTTTAAGTTTAATTAAATATTTATATTTTATTTCATTTCAGCTTTATTTCAGTTACTAAAAACAATTCTTAATAGGTTTAGTTTTAGTTGACTATAACAACACTAGTTAATATATGTTTCACAGACATACTTCATGATTTTAAACCCATCTGAATCAAACATGTCAGTATTTTTCTCACACAACAGTAAAAATAACAGAGCAAATTACTGTTTTCTCATAAGAAATCTAATCCCATCCAGATTGTAGTGTCTATGATTGCAGGTATATTATTTTTTATTTATTCATTTTGACCTTCGTTGAATACTATAAGCTACATTTCTCCATGTGCTGCCTAGTGCACCTTCATTATGAATTTATACCTTCTTGCCAACTTTCTGGGTAAAATAACAGTTGGTGGTTCAAGCACTGCTGGCATCCTGTCCCATTTCAAAAGAGAATGAAATCCTGAAGAGAGTCCGATCACAAAAACTGCTCAGAATGGGCAATCTAGTAGCAGTGCACATTAAAATAGTCACTCTCAAAATTACAATTTGTAAACATTGTGCTTAAAGTAGCAAAAAGAGTTGAGTCATGGACATTGAGCCATGGTGCTCATGTGGAAGATGTAGGATCGAGTCCAGCCTGCAACATTCTGACATAAACTGCCAAAATAAAATAAAGGAAAGCGATCATTTGCAAGTTATCCATCTACATAAGAGGGTTGGTTAATACCATAACTAGTCATATTAGACATGGCCGAGTACCTTCTGTCAGTGCGGTTTAACTGAAGTGCTTTCAGCTTCATCATAGCGCAGTTTGCTGTTTTCTCAGGTGATTAATTTTCAGTGAAACTTGTTCCGCCGTTACAAACAGGTTGCGACCATTTGAGCTCCCATTTAGCAGTGCGGTTTTAATTACGCCTGTCTGCCGAGGGGGAGCAGCAAGCCGAGCGGCTGAGGCCACGACTGTCTGCGAGCCACTCAGACATGGAGCACATATGCCGCATGAGAGCAAATGAGTGCCGGGCACAAATGGAGGGAAGATGAGTAATTCATGGCACAGAGTCAAGTCAGTGCACCCGGATTGTAATTTAGTCTGTTTGGCAGTGTTCACCTGAGTGCCAGCACAGCTTACAGCCCTCATCATCTCCCATGAGATGTCATCATGACTCAAGAGCGCACAGAGCTCTCTTCGCATTCCCCTCGTATACTTCTTATTTGTTTATGTGTTCATTTAGATCTTTGCTCTCTGTCTCTCTGAGTAATTCTGCTGTCTGGTGAAATACGGTGCGGTTTTAGACATTAGGAGTGCAGTAGTGGAGAAGGCGAAGATAGTTTGATGGAGTTGCCTGTTACAAAGAAATGACTTCTAAATTGTCAAGAAAGAAGAGGAGATGAATCTATGGAGATTTTGTTTGGTGTTTACCTCACCAATTTCGGTGTGAATTATATTGTTGCATTAGTGCCTTATTGGTTGTTGTAGGTCACCTTGGTGAGAAAACATCTGCTCAAAACAAAAAGCTCATGTAAATGTTGTGGTTTGGGTGGATGCTGGTGTCCTTAAAGCAGGATTCTTAAAGTCAACGTGAAACCCCTGATGTTCAGGATGCCTATTTTAAAATGCACTTCCAAAAAGCTAAATAAATAAATAAATATATGCATTACACAATTTAAACAAGATTCATTTGTCAATGTAAGAACACAGAGGAGTTCTAGTTTTTAATTATATAATTATATTATATATTCATTTAAATGTCAGCTTTACGTGAAAATGGCTTTTGCAAACTGAGCAAAGTTTTATAATAAATAATATTTATTATTTTATATATATATATATATATATATATATATATGTATATATATATATATATTTTTTTTTTTTTTTTGAGGGTATGGATAGGATGACTTTTTTCCTCATGGAACACAAACAGAGTTATTATGAAAATGTCAAATCTGTTTTTCCATCAAATTAAAATTTTCAGTGGGTATTTTGCTTGGTTTAATAAATATATTATACACACAGACTCACACACACATATACAGTATATACTGTATGTGTGTGTGTGCGTGCGTGAATGTAGGATTTGAACTCAGATCCCTTACATTCATTAATTGCAAAAGAAAGAAAGGGGTCAGAGCAAGTTATAATTTTTTGATTAGACATTTTTTAGAATGACATACCAATTACATTTTCACAATAAGACCAGGAACATTTACGTTTAGTCATTTAGCAGACGCTTTTATCCAAAGCGACTTACGAATGAGGACAATAAAAGCAGTCAAAACTAACAAAAGAGCAACAATATTGTTTTTTGTTTTTTTTAAATAAAAAATAGAAGATAAATGTAGGTAAAGTAGAATTAAAATAGAATAGAAAGTGCTAGAGTTAGAGGGTCAAATAAAGGTGGAACAGATGTGTTTTAAGTCGTTTCTTGAAGATGGCTAAGGACTCAGCTGCTCGGATTGATTTGGGCAGGTCATTCCACCAGGAGGGAACAGTTAATGAAAAAGTCAGTGAAAGTGATTTTGTGCCTCTTTGAGATGGCACAATAATACACCGTTCACTTGCAGAATGCAAGCTTCTTGAGGGCACATAACTCTGAAGTAATGAATTTAGGTAAATGGGTGCAGAGCCAGTGGTGGTTTTGTAGGCAAACATTAATGCCTTGAATTTTATGCGAGCAGCTATTGGTAGCCAGTGCAAATTGATGAACAGAGGTGTGACATGCATTCTTTTCGGCTCATTAAAGATTAATCTTGCAGCGGCATTTTGGATTAAACAAGGAGTTATGTTGCATGTTCTGAAAGAAAGGGCCTGATCTTCTGTAGAGATCATACTGTAAACTGGAACATACTGTAAACTGGATTCCATGTTGGTTTTAACTAGCAATACATTCTTTGGCCAACCAGCTTCAGAAATAAAGTATGCTGGTCAACCAACTAGACCAAAACCAAACCAGTCTGGACCACATGAAGTCATGCTAATTTAATCTTTTAAATATTTTCCCCAGTATTTGGTTTAAATTGACTCTACAGTTAGCACAATGCTGCACACTATGCGAGTGAGCAAAGAGGGATTTCATCAGTTATTGGTGAAGTTTCTTCTTGTTGTTGAAGAGGTTTCTGCAGAAGTGTCTATAGCCTCCAGAGGGAACGCAACTGCAGAGAATCAATGGAGGATGAATGTACTCATCGCTCTCCTGTGACAACGTCAGTGTCAATGTTTAGTTCCCTTTCTATCACTCTACTGTCAGAATTCTGCCATAATAAAACACTACTCACACGGCACATCAATGAAAAATGACATTTTATTTCACGACACAGACCACCGCAGTCTGCAGCTGGGATGAATCAACCGTTATCTGAAATCAAACCAAAACTGACAGAATTGTTTCAAACAGTAGCCGATGTGAGATGAAATTTTTTTCCCCATTGTGAGAATGTGAGAAGAGGAGCGCTGAACTCTTCGCTGTGTGCCATTGTCTTGCTTTGTTTGAGAGGTAATTGTGTGTTAATGAGATGAACCCATGAGAGAGATTTCAAAAGCAAATTGAGTTGAGCAGGTGTTTGTTGTCTTGCATGTGCTTCAGTGTTTTAGATAATTAGAATTGCATTGTATTCCAAAATATTCACCCATTCAGTTTTGTCTTTTTAATTTAGCTCAATTGCAAACCGTAAACTAATCTTTTCAGCATAATGACAAGCAAATAACATACACTTGTGTTCACGAGCACGACTGTGGATTAGTTTTGTGTTTCACTGCATTAACAACTGTGTTGAAGAAGCCACTTTTGAAATTACAGCTTGTCAAACAACAAACTACTCATAAATTCAAGTAGTTCAACTAAAGTCAAGCTACTCTTTTGATATTGTAGCAATTAAACTAAAAGTTGCCTTATACCTATTTATTTTCATTTAAAATTTAAACTAGCAGAGAAAAGTAAATACATTAATGAATTTAATTAGGTTGACTGTATTAAAAACTAACAAATAAATAATAGAAAATAGGCAAATTCATAATGCACAGATATTTATGATCAGTAGCATTTAACAAATCTTTAAATTATTTAAAAAATATGTAGCCTGTCTAGACTCTGTAAAGTATGTTTGAATGTTAATTTACATGAACTGTCAAAATGTTCATTTACTAGGATGAATCAGACTTTCTAGCACTTTTTTATGAGAGCATTTAAGATGAATTGATTAATTGGAATCAACCAGAATTTATAGCACTACATATGAGAGTTTGGGATGAATTGATTCATTAAAATAAATTGGTTAATTTGAATGAATCAGACTTTTCAGCACTATGTATGACAGAGTTTAAGATGAATCGATTCACTGGGCTGACTTTATGTGTTAGAATGAATCAGATTTTTCAGTACTCTGAATGAGAGAGTTTGAAATGAATTGATTCATTAGGCTGAATTGATTTATTAGAATCAACCAGAATGTATAGCACTACATATAAGAGAATATGAGATGAATCAATTCATTGGGATGACTTAATTCATTAGAATGAATCCGACTTCCCAGCACTTTGAATGAGAGAGTTTAAGATTAGTTGATTCATTAGGATGATGTGATTCATTAGAATCAACCAGAATGTATTGCATATGTGTCACGAATCTGGTCCGTGGGCTTCAGGCCGATTACCACTAGAGGTTATTCTCCCATTACATTGACTCTCACACCACACAGACTGTTACACATCACCCTGGACTGCATTTCCCATCAACCATTGCACTGATTACATGCACTCAGCTGAATGCACTGATCACACACACACACACA